TTTCCCTCATTTCCAGGGAAATAGCTCTTAAAGCCTGGTGTCCTTTCCTCTGAGCTCCCCCTTCGTGGCCATATGGACACTTCTCCTTTAATTCTAGCAAAAAATCTCCAGCTCCAGTAACCCTAGGGTATTCACTTGCTGTTCTATGCACAGACATCCTAAAGTAGGGGCTGAGTCTTCCCTTATCTCAACCTCACAATGTGGGCACAAAACAGGGCTTCAAGTCTGACTCTATTTAAAATATCTTTAGACTTTCTTTTTATTTAAACCACTTTCTCTGTTCTCATCGGCCAAGACACAAACACAAACACACACACACACACAATGCTAATAGCTGACATGGTCCCAGGGTTGTCTACTTCCTCTGCACATACACACACACACACACACACACACACACACACACATATCCATACCAATCTTGTCTGGCCTTTCTCTCTGAGGGGCTAGTTAGCATTTTATTAGTACTTATTTTGCCAGAAAAACAGGCTCTCATGTGGTGACCTTAAAGCTTCTGAGCCCACTAGACTTGGACTTGGACTTTCTTGCCTTTAGGCTATATGCTTGTGGCTCTACGAATCTTCAGTCTCAAATCTTACAGCAACTTTTGCAAGCAGAGTAGTAACTGCAATAGTCACTATATCTGCATTGTGTTATGTGAGGGGGAAAGAATTAAGATGCTAAATACTAGGGTTGACTCCATGGTGCAGTGGTTAAGTGCAGTGCATAGGGAGCCAGATCCCACACAGTTGACCATGGTTTGGATCCCATGGCTTGAAAAACACACTGGGCGTGTGTGTGTGCATGCCCACAATCCCAATGGTATGGAGTAATGGAAATGGGATTGCAGTGTGACCATGCCCCATATGGAGGGTGCTCTTTTCTCTTCTCTTCTTTTTCCTTTCCTTTCCTTCTTTTCCCTCTCTTCTCTCTCTTTCTCTCTAGTGAGCACACACGCCTTCTGGCAATTAAAGAGGTAAAGTAGAAAAAGATACAGGATGCCGTGTACGTTATATTCTATGTGAGAATAAGTGACAGAAATTCTATTTGATTTAGTGGGTATCCACATAAAGAAGCAGTGAAAACAAAGAAATTAAAGTGTTATCTTGGGTCAGCCTGTAGTGTGGTCATTAAAATGTCTGGATCCTATATGGTCAACTGCATGGTTCAAGCCAGAACTGGTGGCTTGAAACACATACTGGGCACCTCCGTGTACATTTTCAAAATTCTGCAAGGAGAGAAATGGGGAAAGAATGGTAGTGTGACCATGCCCTACGAGAGGTGCTTTACCTCTACCTCTCTCTCTCTCTCTCTCTCTCTCCCCCGTCCTCCTCCTCCACCTCCTCCTCTCCTCTCCAGTGAGTACATGTGCCTTCTGGCAGATTAAAAAAAAGATGTTATTCTTCTGAGAGAAGGGAGGAATGGGAATGTGACGAGCCATCTCCTGTGTATACATTTTGATTTCTTTTCTATTTATGGAGGGAAGAAGAAAATGAAACAGAACAAAAACTCTACTGGAAGAACGGATGACTAAATTCTCCAGAGAGAGAGAGGTCTTTTAAGCCAAAGAGGCTCTTTCAGTCCCACCTACTGCAATCCTAAATCGTCCCTTGCCCCAAACCATTAATCATGTATGACTTGTGCTATTCTTTCATGCAATCAAGTTAAGCCTGTATCTTGTCCTGAAGCCACAATAAGGAATCTGAGAAATCTTTTCTATCAACACTTTCCACAGGTGATGTGCTTACTCACACAGGGACATGTACCAACCCCACTATGGGTCTCTGGCTTTTCTTCAGCCCTGTATTTCTTCCCCTTTAGATTGGTTCAGCTGTCATAACGAACTAACTCCATAAGCTGGAGAGCACTGACTATATTCTAGGAGTTATCGCCACATGGTAGCCCACATGTTTGACCCTGAAAGCTGACACAATGGTAAGTAAGAATTGGTGTCATGACTGCAGTTCCTGGTACCCTTACCAGGGCTTCGACCCCTGTAAAGCATGATGTATGCTTGTTCTGACAATTGGCTGCTATGGAATGACTAGGAAACATTCTGGATGAAAGTTCAATCCCTACAGGGCACCCGAGTACATGTAAAAGCTCCCAAGGGCCTTCTTAACCTCTTTTACTGCAGCCAGGAATGGCTGAATCTCTGCCTTCCCTGCGAAGACCACATTCGTTCCATCCATAATTGGTCTGGGTACCCCTCAACTGTGTTAACTGTTGTGTTGGCAGGTATGGCCACCATTTAACCTCCTCAGCTAGATCCATCCTCGGGGATTAGGATGATGCCATAATGTGCCCATATGACAGGTTCAAACCAAGGCTGCACACTCACCCAGTCAAAAGTTGAGGCAGAGTTCTAAGTGATCAAGAGACTCTCTGAGTCCGTCAGTTCTCGCTTGCATTGGACACATTAAAGGCCTTAAATGATATCTTTGAACCTACTCAGAACTGGCAATTATCTTCTCTGGGGTCCAACAACCATGCCAAAGAGTGTGTCCGGAGTATACTTATATACTCGCACAGCTTCATTCACAGTCAGCTCAGCCTAAGCTGTGCAGAGTGGACACTTTCCAGACATTGACTGAATGGCACTAACCGTGACCTCTTGCTAACATCAGCAGCCTTTGGAGTATTATACAATCTGTCTATTAGACCACATAGAAAATCAAGCCCAGCATTACAGGATTGAAGGACCAGCAATAGTTAGGATCGAGCACTGCTTTGGCATAAAGGCCAGTATTATCTTCAGGCTCCTTCAACTGCTGAGGAAACTGGAGCGAAGGATCCAGAGATGTTCTCCCAAAGGGATACTTTGCTGTGTTCTTTGGGGTTTACTGACATTTTGATTGCTTCCACCCTTCCATTTTTTGAGGGCCAATTAACCTGGCTTTGTCTTAAAATGGGAATCTGCTTTCTGATCTTTAAGGATATGTCCATAGACACACACCTTTCAGATTCAACTGAGATTTTTTTATTTTAAACAAACAATTGTACTCACCGCAAATGAAAAATTACCTCAAGCAGCAGCCTCAGAGAGTCAGCCTGCTTAATCCAGACCACTGTTGCCCTCAGCAATAACAGATCATCTAGTATATTGGGAGGAAAAATGCAATTTTTTTTAAGAACAAAAGGAATTATTTATAAATTACAAGTATCTTAACAAATATTTAAGGCAAATACAAAAAATGTTAAAACAAGAAAAATGTAAACTTGTAAAATGCAAAGGTTGTGTATAATTTTCATTCTATTAGCAGATAACTTAATCAAAATGAGATATGAGTCAAAAAAAAGAGCCATTATTATAGTTTCAGAAAAAGGTTCTGTTACTTGAATTTATCGTTTTTATTATCTCCGTGAAGAACCACCGGCACACATTGTTGGACTTGAAATAGCTTTTATTTCTGTTCTTATTTACTCTATGTTCTAAAATGTACCCCAGATGCTAGCTGCACACCCAGCATGTGCTAACATAGGTGCTGACCCCACAGAGCCCTCCAGCCTGCAGGTGGGCACAGTGTGCTGAAATGCCCACTTCCTATTAGCATGTTCGCTTTATTCTCAGCACCTCTGTCCATCTTGAACTGACTTAAAATAAGAGTAGAGGGAACCAGCAGTTAGCGTAATGGCTATGTCGCTGGACTCCCACGTAGTCGACCGTGGTTCGTGTCCCGGACCCGGTGGCTTAAAACTCACGCCGGGCGCGTGTGCGTGCGTGCCCAAGATCCCGAGAGGAGAATGGAGGAGAAGGGATTGTGGCGTGACCATCCCCCCTGGGGGTGATTTCTCTCTTTCTGTCTCTATGTCTCTCTCTGTCTGTCTGGCGAGCGCACGCGCCCTACAGTGAAAATCTCTCCAAAAAAAAAAAAATAAAAGAATAGATGAAAATAGTTTAGATGGGCGCCAGCTGACATCACGGCAGTTAAGGTGTCTGGATCCCTCATGGCTGACTATGCAGTTTGAATCCTGGATATGGTGGCTTCAAAAACATGGCAGGTGTGTGTGTGGGTGTGCTCAAAATCCTGAGAGGTGAATGGAGAGTGGTTGGAGAGTAGCCATCTCCCCTGGGGAGCTGCTTTCTCACATTTCATCCCACCCACCCAGCCCCTAGCCCTGGCAAGCACACACCTTGTAGCAACCTTAAACAAAAAAGTAATAGGTTAGAGGGTTTCCTTCCTCAGAGCAAGTAGCATCTGTGAGAAGCCAAAAGACAATTCTAAAATAAAGACAAGTTTTGCTTGTACCATGGTATAAGGAAAGAGCTTAGGTATTTAATCCAAATGCCCAGATTTTGGAAACTGGTTTAGTTAAGTTATTGGTTGTTAAGTTATTGGTTCAGTACTAGTCCCCGGTTACTCAATTAAACACTTAAATGTTGCTGTGTAACAAGGTATTTTGTACATATGACTGAAGTTATAGTTGATATTAATGTCATGTCCTGGTTTATTTTGGCAAGCCTGATTCAATCAGTTGGAAAGCCTTGAAGGCTGAAGATTCCGGGAAAAATAGGGAACCAGCAGTTAGCGTAATGGCTATGTCGCTGGATTCTCACGTAGTCGACCGCAGTTCGCGTCCCGGACCCGGTGGCTTAAAACTCACGCCGGGCGCGTGTGCGTGCGTGCCCAAGATCCCGAGAGGAGAATGGAGGAGAAGGGATTGCGGCGTGACCATCCCCTCTGGGGGGTGATTTCTCGCTTTCTGTCTCTCTGTCTCTCTCTGCCTGTCTGGCGAGCGCACGCGCCCTTTAGCGAAAACCTCTCAAAAAAAAAAAAAAAAAAAAAAAAAAAAAGATTCCTTGAAAAAGAGAAGAAATCCCACCTGTGGACAGCAGCTTTTGCCGTACCTACAAAGCTTCACTCTACTCAAGCTCTGCCCTTCCTGGCTGTTCTGTACCCATGATCTTCCTGTCTTAACTACCAGTCCTATGGATTTTGGACTAGATTAGGCAGTACTTACAACCATATCAAACAATTTCTTGTAACACACATATATAATACACGATGGAACTTCAAATAGTTTGCAGAAAATACATACTGTGAAAAAAACTATGCAAAGGGGCCAGCAGGTGGCGTGGTGGTAAGGTCCTAAACTCGCATGGCTGACTGGTTTGAGTCCTAGACGTGGCAGCTTGCTTTCTTATTTTCTCTCTCTCTCTCTGGTGAGCACACATGCCCTATAGCAAATTAATAATAATAAAAAAATACAACTATACATGGATTTCAAAATTTCTGCACCAAAATTAACCTGCACTAACTTTTTCTAACATGTCTGAACAAGATCTAGTTTGAGGTCTAAGATAAGACATCAGTTTCAAAAGAGCTTCTGTCAGAGCAATGTGAATTCTGCTAAAATTGAAACTGGAACAAACTTTAATTTTATGGTGAAGCATGAGTGGAAGAATGGTGAAATAATTGATGCTTTATGAAAAGAATAAGACAAGTCCCCAAAGAAATTGACCATTTACAAATGGATTGCAGGTTCTAAGGATGAAATGAAGCTGAAAATGCTACACAAGGGGGCAGACCATCCATATCAATTTGCAAGAAAAAAATTAATCTTGTTGGTGCCCTAAGTGAATAGCGCTGATAATTATTCATAAAAGAAATAAGGAACTCAGTTGGTTCAACTTATATAATCCTGACTGAAAAATTAAACTTTCTGCTTGATGTGTGTCAAACTGTTGAGTCCAGATCAGCTACAGACAAACACAGCTTTCAATGGAAAAATTTTTTTTTCCAATAGAAATTTTAAATGAATTAGGAGCAAGATCCTGAAGCATTTGTTTGAAGAATTGTGGCAGGAAATGACACATGGCTTTAGTAATAGAGATCTTCAAAACAGTTCAGGGAAAGTGCATATTATGAAAAGCCTGTACATAGATTTTTGAAAACTGTTTGCACCAAAATAAACTTGTACAAGAGAACTTGAAAAAGTCTGTGGAAAAAGTAGAATTGGAAGATAAAAATCTATGTGTATACATAGATTTATTATATGTATCTATAATACTTTATCTCTCAACATAAGTGCCATCCAGGTTAAGACTTTTATTAGCAATGATACCAGCCAACTTAGTCCATTCTTAACGAACTGAGGGTTCTGGGAATTTAAACACATCAATGCAACCTTTGTTACCTCAGCTGAAGAAAAATAGGTATCCTTTAAAGATTTTTTTTTTTAATTAGGAAAAAAGTCAGAAGGAACCAAATCAAGACTGTAAAGTGGATGTCTAATGTTTCCCATTGAAACTCTCTCACAAGTGTCCCTGTTTGATGAGAGGAATGAGCAGAAGTATTGCTGTGGTGGAGACGGACTCCGTGGTGAAGCCTTCCTGGGCATTTTCCTGCTAAAGTTTCAGCTAACTTTCTCTTAATACTCTCAGCATAAGATGATGTTAGCATTCTCTGGGCCTCCAGAGAGGCAAAAGGCAGAATGTCTGTGTATCTGAAAACCTGTGGCCATGACCCTTGCCCAAAGGTCTGCTTTTGCTTTGCAGGACCACTTCCACCTCTAGGTGGCCATGCTTTGCCTTCAGAATCGTACAAAGGAACACACAAAGGTAAAAACCTCATTTCTGGGTTACTTTTACTCTCTTTAAACCACATCGTAAAACAGCGAATGTAATAAAAAGATTTATCTTATAAAGACATAACTAGAAATATGGCAAAGGCAGAGAGGCAACCACAAAATCATTTAAGAAGCAAAAAAAGCAGACAGACCAGTAGCAAATTACTCAACAGACCTGAAAATGCCAAATCCAAAATCAGCCGAGAAACATACTAAGAACCTTATTATATGCAGGCTAACACTGATAACTCTATGACTTGGAGTATAGCGGATGCTTTAAATGTGAAATGGGTGAAAGCTGGGTGGAAAAACAAACAAACAAAAAAGATTCCTAGATGACAAGCTAGGAGACAGGGGTATGGCCATTTCTTCAATTCAGCAGAAGTCAGGAGATTTATTCCCTAGAGTGTGTGAAGATTTCTGGACTAGGGGACAATGCCACAGAGCTGAGAATTGGCACTACAGTGAAAAAACAAAAGGATGAAGTGAGAACGTGCTGCCATATTGAACACTGAATGCAAAGAGCCCAGCCTTCTTCCCCTAATGGGTCAGGTTGACCCTCTACTCAAAAGAGAAAGAGTTCCTTTGGAGAATCTGATAACTTCCTGAAGAAAGGCTTGTACAGACTGTCACTGAGATTCCCCAATGAGCCCAGCCAGACCACCCAACAGAGAAACTCAGACTACTCACTTACTCATTTATTCTGGAATTTCAAATTACCCATGCTTAATGACTAACAGACACCCAGATACCTGAGGTTAAATAATGTCTAAAGGTACAGGACTGAGACCAAGACAAAAATACAAAGAAAAACATAAGACATGTAGAGGAGCTAGACTTATGTGGGCTGAAAATAAAAGTCTATACTATTCTCAGATAAGAAATGATATTATGCCCATGAAACACGTATAGGATGCTGTTAAAGGGTCTGTGAGAATTAAAACCCTATCAGCTAAACTGAAAAACTCATAGCAGGGGATTGAAGGATACAACAAAAACTGAGCAAATCTGCATGAAAGAAGAGCAAAATGACACAAAGATGCCGAAAGATCAGAAAAGAGTGCAGTCCAGGGTATTGAACATGTGGGTAACTGACACTCCAAAAAGGAGAAGTGAGAAGTAACGGGCAGTTGTTTATATGGATGTTGTTCTTTTGGCCCTCAGGGTCTCTGTGTCTATTCCCAGGCCTCCTAACCTGGATATACTCATCCATACACAAGGATGAAATCAAACTTTGCTGCTTTTTTTTTTTTTTACTTAATCCAGATGTTTTCTAAAAAGCAGTAAGAGAGAGAGATGATCCAATGATCCAATCCTCCAGCACTCCAGTAGTTTTTGCAATAGGCCGGGCACAATGATACTAGGGAAAGGTAAACCTAATCACCTTCCTGGGGAGAAAATAAAAACTCAGATGTGGGGTTAACCCATTCTCCTTACATTTCTTCATAGAAAACAGGAGATCTGTCAATGGAGAGAAGGAAAGAAAAATCAAATGAAGAAAACTCAGGAAAAAAAAAAAAAACAGAGGAACCAACATGAAAGCTGGCATCAGACTTACAAAGTAACAAGTCTGGTTTGGAGCAGGAACTCAAGATAGAAATGTGGGAAGCCATCAGCACCAAGGTACTGGTGTATTTCATGGAGCTTAGGCAAGGGCTGAATGTCAAGGTGACCTTGGCCCAAACTATTTCTATCATGCTTATCTTAACATGCATGGATGAACTGCCTGCTCTTCAGATCAGCTAGAGGGTCGCTTCATCCCACAGACGTGTCCAGCTTTCACTTACCCTGAAATCAAGAGGGTAGTTATGGTTGAGTGTTCATGGGCATAACAGCCCATGTCCTCTAACCATATTTCTGCCAATCGAGACCTGGCTGTGGATAGTATTGCCATGGGCCCTGACTGCCATGGGCCCTGACTGCCATGGCCCTGTTATTCCTGGGACTTGTTCAAACCCTTGCTCACTGACATCTTGCTATCAAGATTGGATAATGATGCGTCCCCCCAAAGTTAATGTTTTGGAATTTTGTCCCCGGTGTAATGGTGCTCGGGGATGGTGAGACATTTGAGGTGAAGCCTATGGGCACCAATTGAACCATAGAGGTATCATCCTCATGAAAGAATGAATGCTGCCTGGTGAGACCCACTGAGTTTTAGCTCTCATAAGAAGGAGTTGGTTCTCATGAGAGCAGGTTCTTATTAAGAAAGACAGACTGTCCCATGTGCCTCTCTCTGCACACACCCACCATCCCCTCTGCTTCTACTGGCCATGTAGTGATGTAGGCTGGCCTGCTGCCAGCCCACGCCTTTCGGCTTTCTAGTCACCAGAACTGTGAGTCAAATAGACCTCTCTTCTTTACACATTATCCAATCTCAAGTATTTCTGTTAGCAATATGGTAGTGAACAGGGACACTTCTTCAAAGTAAATTCTTGAAAATCCCGTGGGAAGCTGAGGTCCACTCTGACCCAGAGGACTTCATTTAAGAGTGGCAACACGATGCTTTTCCCCACAGAGCTAAGTGTGCACTTGATGTCCAATGTTGTCAAAACTGGACAATATATTGTTTGAAGATAACTTCCACTGGGAGTGAAACTGTATAGAAAAGCAGGGAAGTTATTAAACTACCAGTCAGGCCATGCTTACTTCAGTAGAGGAGATAAAGAATTCAAGTGAGTGGAGCATACAAGGCTTCAAGGTAGTGGTAGTGTCTTGTTCCTTCGAGATGTACGCATCATCCATTTTACTAATTAAACTACACATTTATATAGTGCCCATGCTCTTCTATATGTCTACTTCTCAGTTGGGAAAAAAGTGCATAATAGTACAGGTGAACCCAGTGTGATGCTGGGTAACCTCAGTGAGATGCCAGGTGACCTCACAGTGTGACGCTGGGTAATCTCAGTGGGAATGCCAGCTGACTTCACAGTGTGACACTAGTGACCTCATAGTGGGATGCCAGGTGACCTTGCAGTGTGACACACAGTGGGATACTGGATGATCTTAGCCAGACATTGGGTGACCTGACAGTACGATGCTGGGTGCTATTAGTGTGAGGCTGGGTGACCTCATTGTGTGACACTGAATGGTCACACAGTGCAATGCTGGGTGATCTCAGTGGGATACCAGATGACCTCACAGTGCGACATAGGGTGAACTAAATGGGACATCGGGTAACCTCAGTGTGATGCTGGGTTGACCTCACAGTGTGAGGCTGGGTGACCTCATGGTGTGAGGGCAGGTGATTTCATAGTACGATGCTGTAAGGCACCACAATGCAGGCCCCAGACCAGGTGGAGCTCACTCACCAGAACCTCAGATAGGGCCCTGAATGAGAACATTCGAGATCCCCACAGCACTGAGCTCACTCCTTTCTGTTTTCTGTAGCCCAGCTCAAACCTGAAGACCAGAATGCGAGGACCTGAGCTCAGGATCTGCGTCTCAGACAGATCAGCTGCCTGGCTGCAGCCACCACCCCATGCAACAATGGATAGAGGACAGACGGACAGATGGGAAGGACAGGAGGGCGCCCAAGAGAGGCTGATGTGACAGGTGACAGGGACCCCTGATCATCACAAGCACTGGAAACAATCAGTCAGCTAATCGGGATGCCAGGCTGCAGAGGAGGAAAGGTGTCGGGCTGAGGAATATGTGCAGGCCGAGGGAGTGTGCCGAGGGGAGGGAAACTAGTGAAATCAGGCGTCTCCACACACAGTATGTTACAGAAATTGACCTTTATTTGTTGTACTAAAGTCTGCTTAACTTTTGATACAAAGTAACATTTTAGTACAGAAAATCCCAGTCAGATCAGTACCTGTCTGTGCACACTGTACCATCGCGGTCCAACTCTGTCCACAACTTAGAAAAACAGCCACCCGCCCCAGGGTATGCGAGTAATGCCTCAAGAAGACTACAGTTTTTCTTAGTTGTCTGAGCTAGAAAACTTGTACCTGTAAAACAAAGGACAGCATTGAGGACTGAAACGTGTCTCTTTTTTGAACAACTGTGCAAGAAAATATATCCCTTTTTTTTTAAAAAAAAAAAAAGTCAGTAATGGCTAAACTACAATCTAGTGTCTAGAATTACAAAGAATAAAATGAAATCAGAGATTTCTGGCTAATAAAATGAAATGTCAGGAACAGTACTAAAATACAGGTCCTACCCCAATGACACTTACAGGGAGCCCAGTACAGTACCTACTATTAACAGGACACACAGTTTAAGGAGAAACCACGTCAAATCTTCAGCCAGACATCTCCGGCATCAGAAGAGCAACAACAAAACCCCCCCAATGGAGACGTCCTTATGGAGTAAGGTTCATGCCATGAGTGCTGTAACCAAGATGAAAAAGGTCCTGGTTTTTCTTTTTAGACTGGTGATAGTGACAACACTAACCATTGATATTTCTCCTAAAAGTACTTAATTCAGTCTGAAACATGAATGTTTTCATATCCAAAAGAACTGGTGCACCTGCCACGTTCCATAAAGTTTAAGAATTACCCTGCAAACATTGCACTTGATAAAGGCTGTCGTGATTGGCAGAACCTAGAGAACCCAGCGGCATGCATCAGCCTAGCTTAACCCTGCCGGGAACCAACGGTGTCGTCGTGAGCCCAAGGTGCTCCCATGGACCAGACATGATGCTTAAATAATAAATGCAGATGGAGAAGACACGGCTGTGGAAGGCAGGAATGAGAAAGGCCGAGGGAAGTTTGTAAGAATGCCAAAGTCGCCTTCCCCCGTGCAGGAGAAAAACACTGTCAACCAGCAAGTGGGCCCCACAAGGCACTGGTTCTGCCACCACCGGCGGTCTGAGCACCTGCAGTCATGAGGTCCTTCCAGGAGAGGTGCCACCGAGGAGCAGGAAGTCTGTCAAAGCTCTGGTCCCACTGACAAGAACCTCCCAAAGCAAAGCCTGCCACGAAGTTCCAGGGTCATCTTGCCAAAGATAGGGACAAAATCAACACCAAAGCAACAAGGGGGTGGCCGGGGGAAGGAGGGGCTGGGCACCGACAACATGGAGCCGTTCAAGTAAACATAAACAACCAAATACTTAGAAAAGGCTTGTAAACTTGTGATCTGAAAGGTTCTCTTTGCAGCATCTCTGATCGGCTGGCTAAAGAAAGGTGGGTGCTGAGCCCCTCTGTCAAAAGTCTTCTGTGTTTGCTGTTCTGTTGTAAAGCACACGTGTGAGAGGGGCAGAGTCTGCTGGCCCGGGCCCAGATCCTGTGCAGCCAGGGCCCTCTGTCTTTGAGGAGGTGCTTTTGGAGTCCTGGTCCGGGATCCTTCCCCTGCGTGTTTGTATACAGACAGGCCTCTATTTTTCAGTCGCTAGAAAAGAGCTGACCAGGTCTCCATGCTGGTGGGCAGCCATGGCCAGTCCACAGCATGGTGTTCTCCTAGAGTGGGCAGGCTGGAATCCACAGGACTTTACTTTGTTCTTGATTGACCATTGTCAAGATCTGAGTGCAAATGCTTGACAGGGCTCCTCCCTGGATGACCCCTGCAAAAGAGTCCCCCAGACAAACACACATGTCATCCAGCTCCAAGTAAGGCCCAGGTCTAAGGCAAGTCAGCACGGCCTGCACTCTTCCTCCTGGATGGTTGTCTGCTGAGCTACTTTGAACTCCTGACCCAACCTCCCTGATTCTCTCTATGAGCAAGAAATAGAGAGAAAGAGAAGACTGTACCTGGTGAGCTGACCACTCACATATAAATGGCTCAGCCCACTGTAATCACACCCTGAGTTAGGTTTGCCTACTTTGCACTTGGCGGGGACAGGGTGTGTCCCCACACATCAGAGTGGGAGAGCATGTCTTGATGGTCCAATAAGCAGCAGGATTCTATAGGAAATGAGGTGTTTAAGGAAGCAGGTATCCCGAGGCCAAGAAGAGTGTCCCGGCACAGACGGAAACTCTTTTTTTTTCCAAATCAGCCTCAGCACCATCTGCCCCACAGGTATACAAGACCCGGGTCTATGCACACGAGACCAGGCTACTCCATGTGTGCTCTGCAGCACAGCACCGCCAACAGATGGCTCCCCTGGGGTAGCAGCACACGATTAGAAATGCACAGTGAACATTTGGAAACCACTATAGAAATGATATCGTAGGGTTTTGTCTTTTAAATCTAACCCCCAAAATCTTTTCTAACTTCAGGAGTTTTTCAATTTTACTTCACTAGGAATTGTTAATGTCTTTGGATAAAATATTGAAAACTAAAGCACACACAGGGACGCACACTCCTACACACACACACACACACACACACACATACACATCTGAAGACAGCAGCAAATGGCCCTTCCGCAGGTAGTGACGCACCCATCAGAGAACGCGATGAGAGCAAGAGACACCAGGAGCTCCTAGCACAGCCTCGGGGACGGCGCTGCTATGAGCAGGGCGCCTGTCTGGTGCAATGGCTCACAGAGCCAACGTTCTTTCCCTTCCTGAACCTATGGAAGCCTGAGAGCACGGAACTGCCATGTGGAGTCTTCTGGAAGAAAATGAGAGTGGAAAATCTATCTACAGTCGGGAAGAACCTTTTTTTAACAGAAGGAAGACACACAAACTGACAAGCTTCCAGCCTTGAGTGTAGAGTATTCCTTACTATTTCAGGGAATACTGACTTTTCATCATTCTTCCGCAAAGGAAAATGCTGAGAAAGCCTGACACACTTCTGCTTGAGCACGTGAATTAGGCGTGTGAGCAATCCTTGTGCTGACACAGGAGTGTGGGTGTGATGTCTTTATTATTTCTTGTATCTCCCCATCCTCACATAGGCAGTGTCCCACTCCTTCGCACATCAGTATTCACTATTTCTGGAGCTCTTTCAGCACCTCTCTGGCTATGGCGTTGGTCTCGGCCACCACCAGCCACAGACTCTGCTCCCGGCACCATCTGTTCTCCACCTGGCAGCCAGAGGGAGCAGCTCTGGAAGCATGACTTGGATTACGCCACACTCCTACACACACACACACACACACACACACATACACATACACACATGAACACACAGGCACAAAGAAGCATTCACCTGGATCACAGCAGCCTCCACAATGTGATTAAAATCCCTGCCCCCTCCTCTCTGTGACCACAATGCTAACCCTCTACAAATGGCTGATTGTCCTGAAGAGGCTGAAAGCCAGAAGGTGAAAGAGCAGCAGGGAAACTGAAGCCACATGGTTGAGTTTGTTTTATTTGGAGAAAAGATGAGAGATGGTAAAGGTGCAGCCTTTCTTCACCAAACTCCATGGCAAAACTGGCCCTGGAAGGTGCTGTGGATAGCTAGCCACAGCCACTGCCAGCCCACAAGGGCCTCTCTGGTTCCCGTGTCCGGGGACGCTACAGTGGCCACATGGCATCTGTGCTGTAGACAGATCCACCACTGCACATGTGAAAACAGACCATGACCTGAGGCCACCAAGAGCAGTGAGCCTGATGTTTCAACCTTACCAATCCTGATGCTGACTGGGGCCATGGTCGGAGATTCTCCCCTGTAATGAAAGGGCCCCCAAAAGCAATCACAGCATCCAGGAAGTGTGGGTTGCTGCCGCTGCTAAGAGCTACCTGCCCCCATCTCTGGGCCCAGCATACATACCTGTGAAGTACCTGCTGTACTCCTGCTCAATCTTCTGAGCTGTCTCAAACTGCTCTTTGGAATGCCTCTGAGTCACCTTGTCCCTCAGGTAGATGGGGTCTCTCTGTTCCCTGATGGGATAGTAGGGAGGAAGACTGAGTCTCAAGCCTGCTCGAGCCCTCCTCTTTCCTTCTCGGTCCAAGGCGATAGGAACCTCCATTAAGGCAGGGGTGGCAGGTTGTGGTGGAAGGCCCCGTGTGGCCACTTGAGCACAGCAACAGCCCTTAGGCTCCCTTAGGGGAGCTCTGGGTAGAGGGGGCAGGTGAGTACCCCAACGTGCACATAGAGCACAGACACCAGAAGCTTGGGAGCTCAGAAAGGCAAAATATTGTGGGGCTTTGGGCAGCAAGTAGCCCAGCCAGTGCAGAAACTGAAGCTTGGTGAAGGCAAAAGCTCATGGGAGACGAGCCGGCTGGTGGCTGAGCAAGACCTGAACAGGTGAGCATCATATAGAGAGCAGGGGGTGGGGGCGGTTAGGGAGTTATGTGGACAAACGTGGCCGCACTCAAGGATCTGCAGCAGCCCACGAGGAAAAGGGCGGCAGGCGAGGAGGGGCTCTGCTTAGTTAACACAGCATGTGAATGGAGGACAGGGGCTAGAGAGGGGAGGGTTGTTTTCTATATGCTCTATTTCATGGCCCACAATCACCTCTGATTCTTGCACCCCCGCACCCCTAAATGCCACCAGCCCAGGTGAAGCAGAGCCCCAGGGAGCCAGGCACCTACTTGATGTGCTTGGCACTCTTGTAGTGGATGAAGATGACGATGGGGTAGATGTGCATGTGGTGCAGCCGCTCGATGGCGTGGGGGGCGATGTCCAGGAGGCAGTGCCGGTTCTGGGGGGGAGGGGGGTGCAGAGTGAGCACTGGAGGGAAAAGAGGGACCAGCCCTCCTGAGGAGCCACCAGCTCTTCTGCCACTAGACGGTCCCACACTCCCATCTTCCAGTTTCCACCTCACCCCACCAGTGAACACACAAAGCTCCCCACCAACAAGGCTGCAGGCCAGTCTTTGAGGAAGACGACTCGTGATGAGCCCGCGCCTGAGGCTGCGACTGAGCCTGAGCCATGCTTTCAGTAGCAGGACCTTGACAGAAAGTGCGCCCCTCTCCAGACTAAGGTGCACGTGGACGCACACACACACAAGTTCAGTACATGCATTCAAACACCCCACCTTGGGATACCCCTTGAGAGACCCCCTCCCCAGTTCCAATCTCTCTCTGGATCTTCTGAGAGAGAGAGAGGCAGTGCACACACACAGGGTGACTCCTCTGAAAGCAAAAGCACATAGTAGCGAGGAAGGGAGACCCAGGAGCAGGTGTACTCAAACCAGCCCCACACAGCTGAGTGCACAGGAGGACGAGAACCAGGCAAAGGGGCCCCGACTTGCACACGGGGAGTCTAATACAGTGCTCATACAAGAGCTCAGCTCTCATGGTAAAGACAAAGGTACCTTTTCTGTTATCTCCTTGATTGAAGCCACCGTGGTCACATCAAAATGGCCACTCCTCCGTTTATAGTCAACAAACAGGCAGTCTTTGACACCCCGCTCAATGGCCTGTTGGGAGGCCTTCATCACCTCTGCAAAGCACAGGCACGGGAATCAGGGAATCAGGACATCCCGGGGCCCTGCCCAGCGCTCAAGAAGTATGGGAAGAACATCTGCACAGCAGCGTCAGGAACCGGGTCCTACTGCCCTCTCTTCCAGAGAAGGAGCAGGGCCCGGAGGCTTGGAAACACCATGGGGCTAATCCTGGTGCAGCCACCCACCACCCAGGGGAGGCAGGTGGACAGGGTCACAGTGACAAACACACACTTACCGAGGGGGCACCTGCAGAACTTGCCGGGTGCCTCGTTCACCAGCATCTCCTTCACCACGTCCAGCAAGGGGCCCAGAACCAGGACTGGCCTCAGAGAGGTACAGTCCACCTTCTGGACCCGCTGATAGGCCAGGCTCACTGTCTCTGAGGGACAGAGCACAGCAGCGTCACAGGAGGGCAGAGACCCCTGTTCCCTGATCCCATTCCCCCCAGGTAGCCCACCCCCCTTTCTTCTTCAAATCCAGAACCGGAGAGGCTGACTGACTCGTTCCCATTTGCTGGGACTCCCTCAGCCTTAGCATCGAAAGTCACAGGTCCCAGGCACACCAGTGCACACTCCTAGAGTCAGTCCAGTGCGAGTGCCCTCCCCACCAACTGCGCACACCAGAGGCTGCTGGTATCAACCAGTCATTTCGGCATTTCCTTCTGTTCCAGTTCTTCCTTCCATGGCTCAGGCCTGCTTCCTCTGCTCCTAATTGCCATCCTCTGCTCTCTATGGATGCAGCCCTTGGGGTCTGGCGGGTACAGCCACCCCAGCAGGCAAGCAGGCTCATGGGACCCAGGCCCACTGGGCGGGTGGTGGAGATAAGGCTCCCACATCCTTGTCCCTGCCTGTGAGCTGCAACCGGGCAGCTGCTGTGAACCAGCTGTGATGATGTTGATGAGGACTACCCCGAGGCAATGGCAGATCCCAAGATACTAGAGACCAGGGTCCCTGGGTGATCCCCAGACCCTGAGTGATCTCCCCTGAACCAGCCACCAGCTCAGACTTGTCCGAGTCAGAGAAATGAACTGCCATCATTTACACCACTGCTGTTCAGTCTCAGTTAAAGCAGTCCTGCCACCATCCCAGCTGATACATGAGTAAACCAGCACGTCCACTGAATGAACACAACAGTCCTTGCAGGAGGGTCAGCCCATGGCCAAGTGATTAAGGCAGCTGATCAGAACACGGTTTGAGTACTAGACTCAGCAGCTTGAAAAACATGCTAGGTGTGTATCTGTGTATACCCATTCCTCACAGGGAGTGCTTTCTTCCTCTCCCACTCCCTCCCTCTCTAGTGATTGCATATGCCCTCTAGCAAATGAAGAACAAAAAAGTGGCAGGAAAAGACAGTCTAAAAGCCAGTCAGAAAGTTGGGCCGCCAGTGGCATGGTGAGTTAAGACAGCTCATCACATATGGCCAACTAGCTAGTTTGAATCCCGGATTTGCATGTGCCTATAATCACAAGAGGAGAGTGAAGAAGGGATTATATCATGACCACCCCCCACGGTGTTTTCTCTTTCCTCTCTCTCACTCTCACTCTCCTGCAAGCATAGATGCCCTATAGCAAACTAAAAGACAAAAGTAATAAAAATGAAGTAGAATCATAAAAACACTTGATTAATCCAAAGTTACAAAAAAGGAAGAGCCAAGGAAACACAGAACAGGTAAGATAAGTAAAAAACAAATAAAAATGGTAAATGTACATCATATCTTATGTAATGAGTTAAATACTCTTGAAACCAAACAAGGACCCCCCCTAATGCATTTTCTAAGGTTCTTGAAATACAAGGTCCATTTACATTGTAATGGCCCAGAGTAAGGGGAAGTCTTCAGACTTTGGTTATGATAATGAAACAACATGGACCATGAGTGAGGGCCATTTGACCTCTAAGACTCTCACTTAAAGGAAAGAGTATTTTGATTTCAATATGTAAGATGTTTTGTAGGCTGGAAACTGTAAGCTATGAGCTCAAAGACCCCAAGCTGAATGGCTCCAGAAACCTGAAGAGAAATTTGATTATCTAAGGCCTTGCCAATCAAGAATAGCCATGAGATGACCAGGTCCTCTTGAACCAATCACTGAACTGATCATGCGCCTGGGACCTCTGCCCCCAATTTTGCCCTTAAGAAAACTCATGTGGGGAACATCTTGGGGAGACTGGGTCTTTTCAGCATGAGCTGCCCTCTCCCTTTATTTTGTGCTTTGCAATAGAGCTGTACTTGCCCTCATCACACCATATGCCTATAGTTTGGTTTCATAGTACTTGGGCGAGCAAACCTGATTTGAGTTCAGTAACACTCTTGATTAAACAAAAAGATGGTCAGGGTGTGTTCAGACTGTAAAAATACCTCATGCTATTCACTTTTCTGTAAGTGTATCTGCACTTTGCTATACATACACTTTGATAAAAGACGAACTGCCACAGTAGGTTAAAAAATACTCCATGTTGCTTAAGAGATACTTATAACGGGCCAGCAGGTGATGCGGGGATTAAGGTGCCGGACTCTCAACGTCTGACTGCAGTGTGAATCTGGGATCTACACCTTGAAGATCATGCAGGACGCGTGTACATGTGTGCCCAAATTCCCAAGAGAAGAATGGAGAAGGGATAGCGTGGCCATCTCCCCAGGGGATGACTTATTTTCTGTCTCTCTGTCTCTCTGGTGAGTGCACATGACCTATGGCAAAAACCTAATAAAATAAGTGTTAGGCCAGAAGCCTTGGCAGCTTGGCTATAGGGGTTGGACGCCATGCCACAGTCAACTAATGTGACCTGGATCTAGTCTGTCAGCAGACCTGCACTGCACTTGGATCTAACTCGGATGCAGCACACGGCGTTCTACACTGCACATGGCACCAGACCCTACATGGCACAGTTGTCTGCTCTCCCCCTAAACCATTACCATACATGGACTGTTTCTACCTCTAAGACACTCCCCCTTCCTATACCCTTATAAAAATCGCTAAATCCCTCCCTAGGGCACGACTTCTCTGGCCTTCTCTCTGTGTCAGACCAGAGAACCTTGCCCGGGAGCGTTCCCAATATAGGATCTACATTCCTATTTTCTCGCGTGGTCATCCTATTTCTTACATCTGGTGTCAAAACCCAGGAGGAATTTTGTGTCCCGCAGTCCCCGTGAGGGATTCTCCTCCCCTGAACCAGGAACTGACCTGCCAACTGCCGAATAGCCACCTGCCCTGGCCTCTGACAGTAAGTCCACCTGCCTGTGGTTTCCTCTGGGACTCAAACCTCTGGGTTGTCTGTCTGAAAATGCGGCTGCGCCAGGGTCCCCTCCGACTCCTGGAGCTCAGGTGATTGTGGAGACATCCCAATCCTCTCCTGCCCATCCTCCACTCCACTCCATGAGCGCAAAAGGGATTTGCGACATCTCTCCCTTTTCTGCTCACTTGAGTCCCGGACACAATGGGTAATACCAGGTCCATCACCGAGCCAAAGATACCCCTGGGCTGTCTGCTCCGTAACCTCACCAAATTCGAACTCACTGAGGATATCTACCACAAGCAGCTATTCTACTCCACTGTGGCCTGGCCGCAATACCCTTGGGATAACGGGTTCAAAAGGCCTCCTGAGGGAATTTTTAATTAGAATACCCTCACCGATTTGGATAACTACTGCCAAAGGGTAGGCAAATGGCTGCAGGTTCCATATGTCCAAGCCTTTTGGGACCTATGCTCCCGCCCCTCCCTCTACACCACCTGCACTACTGCCCAAGTCCTTCTTGTAACCAGAACGCCAAAGTCTAAGACCAACTTATCCTAGAGGCAGATCTCTCTCCTATAGACAAACCACTCAAAACTCTTACCACCCCTCCTTCCCGGTGCTCCTCCTGAGTCCCTCACCATACCCCAGTACCACTTTGGCACTGCCAATCCCAGCCCCTCACCACCATTCCCCTGGCTGTACCACCGCTGCCTCCTCTTCCTCCATATCCTTTGCTCCCATCCCCTCCTCACCTGTCTCCAGTTAGTTCATACCTGCTCACAATCTCACCCTTCTCCCACCCCTTCCCCCAGTTCTAACTTCTCTGCCCTCTCCAGGAAGTGGCGGGAACAGAGGGTATTGTCAGGGGCCACGTTCCCTTCTCTCTCTAAGATCTCAAATAGAAGACTCAATTCTTTCTCTGCTAACCCCATGGCTTTTATCAAAGAGTTCTGCTATCTTAGTCAGGCTTATAATCTTACTTGGCATGACCGCTATGTAATCCTGTCCTCCACCCTTACTGTGGATGAGAAAGAGTGAGTCCAGGCTGCAGCCTGAGAACATGCTGACCAAGCCCGCCTGGTCAACCCAACTCTTCCAGTCGGACAAGCAGCTGTTCCTATTACTGCCCCTCCCTCAGACTATCAGGTAGGAAACTCTGGCCCCCCAAAAACAAGACTACATGATATAATGCCTCCTGGCTGGAATGTAGAGATTGTCTCTAACAAAATTGTCAGTTTTGACAAACTCCGGAAAATCACCCAAGGGGGCAGATGAAAACCCAGCTGTGTTCCTCAATCGCCTTACAGAGACCTTAACCCTTTATGCACAATTAGATCCCGCTTCACCAGCTGGGACTACAGTTCTGGAGTCTCACTTTATTACCCAGTCAGCGCCTAATACCCGTAAGAAACTTAAACGGGCAGAGGATGGCCCTCAGACCCCAGTCTGTAATCTGGTGAAAATAGCATTTAAGGTTTACAATGCCTGGGAGGAAGCGGCTGAGGCTGAACGCCAAGCCCGCCTTCACCACAAGGTGGCACTCCAAACCCAGGCCCTGGTAGCAGCCCTGCAGGGGCACAAGAATGGGGCTTCCTCACCTAAGTCCGTTCACCCAGGACCATGCTTCAAGTGTGGGAACATGGGCCACTAGGCCCTTGACCGCCCACCAAACCATGCCCCAAGTACAAACAGCCTGGTCATTGGGGAAGTGACTGCCCAATGACTGACTCATTCCCGGCACCTCCACGTGGGGGACAAGTCAGCCAGGTGGTCCCCTCTTTGGAGCTGTTGAAGCTAGCTGCTGACTGAGGAGGCCAGGACTCAAAGACCCCCATCACCCTTGCTGAGCCCAGGGTAATGTTACAGGTAGCAGGTAAGTCCATCTCCTTTCTTGTGGACATGGGGGCTGCCTACTCTGTCCTGCCCTCCCATTGAGGGACACTTTTTCCTTCTCAGATCTCAGTCACGGGAATAGACAGCACACCCTCCTGCCCACTAGGAAACCCACCCTGGACTCCATATAGATGGACGACCTTTCTCCCATTCCTTCCTAGTTATGCTGACATGCCCAGTCCCTGTCCTGGGCAGAGACTTCCTTCACTAATTGGGAGCTACCCTCCATCTTCTGGCTGCAGCCCCTGCCACTCATTTTCTCCTCCCTCTCATTTGCTCGTCCATTGACTCTAATCTCTCTGGCCCTCCCTCCTTTCCTCTTCCCCCTGAAAAGTTAACCCAGTTGTCTGGGACATTTCTAAACTGGTTGTGGCCTCCCTCCAGTGACAAAACACTTCAGTCACCCAGGTAGCTCTTCAAAACCGATGCACCCTAGACCTACTAACAGCAGAGAAAGGGGGCACCTGTCTGTTCCTCAGGGAGGAACGTTGCTACTGTGTTAACGAGACAGGGCTGGTTGAACAAAACATCGATGTTCTCAGCCATCTAAGCGAATAACTACGGCACCAGCACCAACAGCCCACTTCTCTTTCCCCAGACTGGTGGCAATCTACCCTCATCACCTGGATTGTCCTCATTTTAGGACCACTAATTCTCATCTGCCTTCTCTTCATGCTTACACTCTGTTTCCTCAGGTTCCTCCAAAGCCAAATCCAAAAAGTTTCCCAGGCAGCTGTCAACCAAATGCTCCTCCATCCCTACACACAAGTTCCCACCTAGCCCCCGGCCCCCCACTGCCCCTCTTCGCCCAAGTCGTTAATGATCGAATGGTGCCCTATAACACCAAAACAGTCGGGATGCTGGGTCAGAGGCCTGGGCAGCTTGGATGTGGGGGTTGCATGCCATGCCACAGTCAGCTAATACAACCCAGATCTAGTCTGTCATCGGACCTGCACTACACTCAGATCTAACCCACACGGCGCTCTACTCTGCACACAGTACCAGACCCTACGTGGCACAGTAGTCTGCTCTCCCGCTAAACCATTACCATACATGAACTACTTCTACCTCTAAGACACTCCCCATCTCCGTACCCTTATAAAAATCACTAAACCCTTCCCTAGGATGCAACTTCTCTGGCCCTCTCTCTCCCCCAGTGAACCTCACCCAGGAATGTTCCCAATAAAGGCTCTACATTTCTATTTTCTTACGTGGTCGGCCCATTCCTTACAATAAGTAAGTAAATAGAGACTCATAATAAAGTACATATATTGCACTTAGAATAAAGCTACAGAAAAGCTTACAATAGAAAGAGATGAACCATACAAATACCAACCAAAGGAAAACTATGTGTCAAAAACATCAAACAATCAAGGAAGAAACATTACTGGAGATCAAGAAAGACATAATGAAAAAAAAAAGAAAGACATAATGAACTCTAATGATGTATGCACCTAATGACAATTTCTTTTTATTTATTTGTTTTCTTATTTTGGAGAGGTTTTTGCTATAGGACGCATGTTCTTGCCAGAAAGAGAGACAGAGAGAGAGAAATCACCCCCCAGGAGGGATGGCCATGCCCCAATCCCTTCTCCTCCATTCTCTTCTTGGGATTTTGGACATGCATGCACACAAGCCTGGTGTGAGTTTAAGTCACTGGGTCCGGGACTTGAACTGTGGTCGACTACATGGGAGTCAGTGACATAGCCAGTATACCAACTATTGGGCCCCCTAATGACAATTTCAAAATATGAGGGGATTTCAAAAAGTCCATGGAAAACTAGAGCTATAAAGTACACATTTATTTTGGTAGCAAAAAATATTTGAAACCAATACATGGTTTTCTCACAATACTTGTTCTCTATGACCTTTTGAAGATCCCTTGTATATAGTGCAAAAAAACTATGAAGAACAAAAAGGAAAAATAGACCACTGGTTATTTTTCAAAGATACAAACACACACATTGAACATATGCCAAATACCAGAGTTAGTGTCAGCAAGAAAAATGAGCAGGGGGCTTAAACTTGGGCACTAAAAGAGTGATGGGGGCAGGGGGAGTCAGAGAAAAACCATCCTTTGATAAACAAGCTAGCACACTTAAGTGAAGGGCAACACAGTAAACATTTTAGGTTTTGAAGTCAAAACTAAAGTGTCAAGGGACCAGTAGTTAGTGTAATGGCTATCTCGCTGGACTTCCATGTAGTCGACCACGGTCTGAATCCCAGACCCGATGGCTTAAACTTACGATGGGTGCGTGTGCGTGCGTGCCCAAGATCCCGAGAGGAGAATAGAGGAGAAGGGAATGCGGTGTGGCCATCCCCCCGGGGGGTGATTTCTCACTTTCTGTCTCTCTGTCTCTTTGTCTCTTTATGACTTTCTGGCGAGCGCACGTGCTCTGTAGCAAAAAACTTCTAAAAAAAAAAAAAAAAAAAACTAAAGCATCAAAATTGAACAACTATTATCACCAAAACTTCTGTGTTTTACAAAGTACATTTAAAAATGTAAAAACAGACAGCAGGCCCGACCTGGCCATGTGTTGTAGCCACCAACTCCTGTTACAACCGACAGTGTCAGTGGCCATGCACTGCAAATGCAATTCACTCAACTCAATTAGTTTTAAATAAATATTAACATTAAATATTTTAAAGCATATTAATTTATTTTCCTTAGCTTTTGCTATAAGCCAATGTGCACTTAATGGAGAGACACAAAGGGAAAGTGAGAAAGCACCCCACAGGGAGGAGGGCCACATGCAATCTCTTCTCCATTTTCCCCTCAGAATCTTAGGCATACATGCATACATGCTGATAGATTTTTTCAAGTTCCAGATCCAGGATACAAACCATAGTTGGCCATGTGGGTTCCAGCCACCTTAGCCACCATGCCACTGGCTGGCCCCATATTAATTGTTAAGGTACAGAGAAGGAGGCACCCAGCTGTTCTACCACCTGCTGCTCATGGCCACCTCTCACCTGTCTAGCCAAGAGGGTACACATTCTAAGACAGTGCATATATCAGGAGCCTCCTGCTTTACAGGACAAATGTACCCTTTCTATAAGGCCGTCTGCCAGGGAATGCCTGAATTCCCTCACATCAACTCCAGCCTGGCTCAGCATCATACCCTGAGAGGATCTTGTAAGAATTATTAATGAACACGGGAGTGAAGCCAGAAAGGCCAAAAACGTTGCAGCACCTTGTAGCCCTTGGTCTCTTCCAAGAGCCTGTGATAATCCACAAACGAGGAGCAGCGGATTCAGCAGAGACTGCTTTGTGCCCACCAAATACCTGTCTGTCCTTTCTTCTTTGCTTACAGGACCTGTATTACTGAGACCAGCAATGGATCCAGGTAAAACACGGCCTCCCTTACAGATGTGAGTGGCCAATGACATGTAAGTCGAAGTCATGGGATGGGTCTTCTAGATAAGACACATGCTTGGCTGCTTAAAGACACACACTTGGCAAGGGATGTGGCCTTGCCCCTTCCTCCTTGCTGGTGCTGAAATGTGAGAGTGATGGCTGTGGCTCCAATGACAGGTGGTGACCGTGAGGAAACCTTGAGGATGAGGCCCATACCCTACACAAGGGAGACTTTCAAGACAGCTGCACCACCTTACCAGCCCCGAAGCCTACCTCCAGACCTGTGCACCAAAACCAAGTCAACCTCTACGCTGTTTAGGTCCCTGTCATAGAGCTGCTGGGGTTGACAGCAAAAGTCATCTGGTGATCATGTTGGAAATGAGCTCAGCCACTTGCCTTCAAAGAGTGGAATGGAGTCATTAGAAAAGGTGTCCAAGGCGAGGAGGTCTTTCCCGTCTTTGGACCCACTGCGTTTGTGCTTATGTTTCCTTCGAAAGAATGACCGGCGCGCAGCTGCTGACAGTGTCTTCGCAGCGCTGTTGTCATCTTTGACCTCGGACATGCTGAATCTCCTGGAGAATTCTTGGTCCATCCTGTGGTCACAGAGAATAAGAATGTAGGACAGAGCCATCACCATCATCCCTCTTCCCCACATTTGCCCCCATAGCAAGGCATGTGAGGGCTGGGCTCCTCCCACACTCCTTTGCAGGTCTGGTGGCGACCTCACCCTCTGATGCCTGAGAACCCTTTGGTACCACTAGCGTAGGGGCAATGCAAATACCAGCACTGGGGGCAAGTTCTCAGCAGGCAATTTCTACTATGGGATATTCAGCTCCACGACAAAAGGACCTGCAAGGACAACCATCACTTGGTGACATTACCAGTTACGTTTCCTGCCATAGAAAGGAATAAACAGGGATAAGCAGGTAGCATAGTGGCTAAGGTGCCACTGCACTCCCATATGGTCAACAGTGGTTTGAGTCCCAGACCTGGAAGCTTAAAAATCACGCCAGGTGGGTGTATATGCATGCCTAAAATACTAAGAGGAGAGCAGAGAAGGGATTGTAGCCTGGCCACCTCTTCTGGGAGATGATTTCTCACTTTCCCTCTCAGTGTCTCTCTCTGGTACACCCACCCCCTCTGAGGGGAAAAAATCATGCTCAATGAAGGTGTCAGACACAAAGGGCCACACGCTGTGTGATCCCACTTACAAGGAATTCCACAACAGGGAAACTTATGGGTACCAAAAATAGATTCATGATTGCTTAGGGCTGGGGGCCAGGTGGGAGAAAGGAGGACAGAGAGACTAGGGTGAAAGCCGCTGGGCATGGGCTTTCTCTGTGAGATGGTGAAAATGCTCTTAAAGTAACTATGGTGATGGTTGCACGTATCTGTGACTACACTAAAAAATCTAGTGAATTGTATACTTTGGGTGAGCTGGATGATATGTGAAGTATCACAGTTTTTTTCTTTTTTTTCTTTTGGAGAGGTTTTTGCTATAGGGCGTGTGCACTCGCCAGAAAAACAGAGAGAAACAGACAGACAGAAAGCGCGAAATCACCCCCCAGGGGAGAGACAGACAGACAAAAAGCGCGAAATCACCCCCCAGGGGAGATGGCCATGCTGCAATCCCTTCTCCTCCATTCTCCTCTCGGGATCTTGAGCACCCATGCACATGCACCCAACATGAGTTTAAGCCGGGTCCGGGACGTGAACCATGGTCGACTACATGGGAGTCCAGCGACGTAGTCATGACGCTAACTGCTGGTCCCTGAGTTATGGTTTTTAAAAGAAGTCAGGCCTCTGGACTTGCCACTGTGCTTCTGTACAGCACTGACTTAGACTACTAGCAGCTCTTTGGCAAAAGGAATAGACCGGATGGTGAGATGACCAACGGAACCAACCCTCCAGTAGCCCAGGGCCCACCTCATCCTGTGGGACAGGTCCACGGGTGGCAGCACCTGTGCCCCTCCCTGCACCCCATCCCAGAGATGGAGAACGTACACATATTTGCTGGGAATCTGCCCACGCTGGATCTTCTGGGCATTCTCGTCTAGCTGCCAAGCCATCCAGGACCCAAACGTGCCCTGGGGCAAGGTATCATCCACGTAGAGGATGTCGTCTTTTTTAAAGCTCAGCTCATGCTCTACTTCTGCCAGCCGGTCGTACAGGGCCCTGGACGAAGGGACACAGAAGTAAATTCAGAGGCCACTGCCTGAGGATGAACCATGCGCCTCCCACAACCAGGCCCCTAAGGTTGCTATTCTGCTTGGACCTGCCTCCAGGCACCATCGGGAAGTGCCTCTTCCTGCTCCAGTGGTGGATCCTGAAGGAGGGAGCCCCACACTTTACATAATGAGACAAAGACACTGCCTTTCCCCTAAGACTGAGGGCTCATCCCCATCAGAAAAGAACTTCTCACCAAGAACCAAGGATTACCTTCCCCTTTCAAATGGGCCTTTCCCATTTGCCTCCCACCCCAAAGTCAAGGTCCCTGGCTCCTAAATATTGGAAACTCTCGGAATGGACACATTATCTCCCACCCTGGAGGCTGGGAGTTACGCCACATCCATGGTTTTATTCTTTGTGTAGTCTTAGAATTCAGAGCGTGAAGGAAGTTCCGAAGCCCTCCTAGAAAATGCCAGATACTGTCCCCACGGCCTTTTGTACAGAACTTCAGGCACTGCAAACACCGTGAAGTTCACACACACCACAGAGAGCTCTGCAAAGCTGGGTTGGGGGAGACCAGAAGGAGGAGCACAGCCCACAGAAAAACAAGGCCGACGGCTTCAAAACTCCTCAGGTTTGAAACCCTCAAGGGGCGCCCATCTAGTCCTTTAAGTCCTCAGGGTTTTTCTGAATCACAAGCTTCTAACCCTGAGCATTTAGGCTGGAGAGCAAAGTACTGACAGGCAAAGCCCCAGCCTTGGGGGGCAAAAAATAAGACATTCACCTGGAACGGAATCTCCACTGAAAGCCCGTCCCTAGCCCCGCATCCCAGAATCCCTCACCAGTGATACCTGATATAGAAGCTGTCACCAGGCAGGCTCTTGATCTTGCTGAACTCCTCAGGGCGGTACTGCACCTTCAGCCGGATGCTGTCCTTGGGCTTCAGCATCTCCACATACACCTCCTCCACCGTCTTGTTCCGCATGTCCAAACTGCCATACTGCCCAGGGATGAGGCACCAGGTGAGAAGGGCAGGGGCTGGGGGCTGGGCAACCATGAGGAGCCCAATATGGTGCTAAGGTGGAAGGTCAATCATCACCTTTGCTGAGAATCTGCCTGCCTCCCCGCTACAGGTCAGGCTGAGCCCTGAGCACATTCCCTGGCCTCCATGTTCTGCCACGTTTGTACCAGCCCTCAAAAGCTTCTCCCAGCAAAAGCCTGCGCTGGCCCCCTAGCAAGTAAGGGCTATTTAAAATATGGCGTTTGCGCTGGCCCCCTAGCAAGTAAGGGCTATTGGAAATATGGCACTTCCTCCTGCTTCAACCTTTAAATACCTACGAACCATCTCCCCCACGAACCAACAACCCCACTGAGAGGAAGATAACACTCTTTGGATCAGAGTCCTGATGCTAACAAGAGAGCACCTTCTGCTCAGGCCCCAAGCCAAGGCTCTGCCCTCAGCTTTCTCAGTGGCCTACCCCGAGGGCCGCAGAAGCATTCTGGATTTGCAAGGATTAAAAATCATCCCGACAGGGCTGCCAGTTGAGAGGCTGTGTTCTTCCATCCTCTGTGCCTCCTGAGACTGCACCAAGTTCAATGTACAGGTGGGACAGTGGCCCGGCCTGCTCAGCACCTTAGAACTCACCTCTAGGATGAGGTCCCCTGGTACAAGGCCATCGGGACCCTTGGCAGGGCTGTCATCCTCCACCTCAGCCACAAATACCCCATGCAGATTCCCGCCACATAAGTGCACCCCGAGCTCCAGCTGGGACTTGTTGATGAAGACAACACGTGGGTCCAGAGTCTTCCTACTGGCATCTCCCACAATCCTTTCAAGAATGAAAATGAACTCCTCAGTCATGCAGGAGGGAGAAGGGCATGAAAAGCCAGTTCTGTTTTTTGCTTGCTTCATGGGTCTTAAGAGGAGGTCTTGGAAGCACAAGGGTATGAAAGGTGGTCTTATCACAGGCTCTAGTCCCACTGACTCAGTGTACAGGGCAGAATGCTGACACGCAGTGACAGCACAGCCCCAGGTCATAGCCAGTTAGGAACAGAGTTGAAACCAGTGCCCCTGCTCCTAGACCCAGCTGCCCCATGCCTGAGGTGGTGTCTCTCCCACCTGGATTGCACTTGCTTTCCTAATTCAGTGCTGCCTCAAGTTAAAGTTGAGCTCACAGTCCACTACTCGTTCAGCACATGTGACTGAGCAGTGCTGAGGACCAGGATGCGGTGTGCTGACTCATGAAGCAGAGGACCCTTGCCATCGAAGAATGTGTTATCTAGTAAGGGAAGCGGATTTGCAAGCTGGTATACAAACAGACCGAATGAAGGAACCGGGATAGTGACAGAGACTGATGAATGTAGGCCTCAAGGGAGAAGCCAGCCCATGATTAAAATGCTGCTGCAGGCAAGTTTCAGTGTGAAAGATCTTAGTGCAAAGGATGCAGAGCTGGCCTCATTTTGCGTGATGCCAGGGCCTGGTCAAGGCCCCAAGAATCAGCTACTCCAGGACCGTGGTATGACTGTGTGGCACCC